GAGAGTCACCTCTAACAATGACCCTTCTTAAAAAGGAATGCTGTCATCGAAAAGAATTTTGGTATTAAGAAAGGCAAGTTCATGGTTTAATAAAATGCCATTGCTAAATTGGCAGAATGTGTCAGTAAGTGTATGTGGACTCTGCAAAAGCTCTATCGTATTTCTATCCAACAATCAGAAAATAACTGTATCAATATAAATAATGGTAGGGAACTTTATTCTCGGGGTACCTGTGGAAAGTGGTGATTGGCTTTTTCTTCAAGGGTCATTGAGTTTGGTTTTGTTAGTTGTGTCTTTTCAGATCCTGTTGTGGAGCAATAACGTTTTTGAGGAACCTACAAGATTACATTTTGATAAGCCACACTCATATTTCATAACGTCAAACCGAAGTTTGTAACTATGCTGTATTTCTGCTTTTTTCCTGCAACAACTGAGCAGCACAATGACTTTCCTTTTTCTTTGCATTCAAGATTAATAAACTAACACTCAGTAAAAACAATTCTTTCTCTCTCATTTTGGGTGAATGTCTCAAATTTTTAACTAGGTTGTTTCCATGTTGTGAGCATTCACCTTGACATTAACTGGTTCACATTTGTTTGCAGCAGTGTACAAAACTATTGAAAAATAAGTAGTAGATTTCAGCATTACTGTAGATATTTGAAACATTGTTAAATATCTTCCTAAAAAAGAAACAGGGGACACAATCTGTATTAATCGGGCCAAATTAAATTATTACCGTGACCTACTCTAGCCTTAGTCTTTGACTTCGTCACTGCGTTGTAGAATTGAATGATCTTTCTCTTGCACGTTGTAGTTCAGGTTTATCTCTGAAAGGTGCAGCAGGATCCATTGCTGCCAGCTAGCTTGAGGGTTAGCGAGACTTAAGAAAGAGGAAAGTATGTGCTGTTGTGTGCAGCAGCTTCTCAGCCCAAGGCTGGAAGGAAGCACCTTGGTGGTGACCAGCCTGACCTCCAAAGTTTGACAGGGGTCACTGTCTGAGACTAAGGCCATGGCATGCAGTGTTCTATCAGTGTTCTGTCTCAGACTTCACGGGTCAATTCTTTCAAACGTCATCTTTTTGTAGTAGAATTATACATGCTGCTGGCGAGCTGGCAGGCTTTTGATTTCAGTTGCCCTGTAAAATTCTTGGGAGGCATATTTTGTCTGTCAACATTTGCTGTGCAATTTTTTTCCAGAGAAATGTAAGTGAAGGTTGTTCAAAAGATAAAAGACTGCATTCACAGTTGTTTCAGAGCAAGTAACAAGACGTGTGGTGGGAAAATGTGGCTTGGAAGTGGTTGCAGAGTTTGTGTCTGGATATAAGTAACCAGAGCTTGTTCTGTATCCATATGATTTGCTAATATTTATTGGTCTATGTTCTAAATGGAAAAGGGGATTAGATCTCAAATTGTGCTGCATTTAAGTAGTCCAACTGTTGAGAAATTTGTATGTGAGTTCCTGTTCAAGATAGCACCAGGGGTTATGATGCATTTGAGGAAAATGGTTGCATGAATACTTGGGGTACAGCTGTGTGGTCTCCTCAGTCCCACTCCATGAAACGCAGAAGAAAGTGAATCTTCTCCATGGAGAAGGTCTCTGTTGTGGCAGTACAGACTAATGACACAGGCTCCTGTTCAGGGCAAATCGCTTCTTAGTGAATTTTCAGAAGAGTATGAATATATTTGAATTTCAATAAATAACCGTTTCCAGTTTTTACTACTGGAAATGACTGCAGGTTTTCCAATGCAGGAAAAGTGGTGAATAGATTGCAGGCAAATTCATTCTGAAGCATGAGTGATTCCAATGCTGTAGATTACTCAAGGATTTTGCTTCTTGTACCAAGTGCAGAAGAGTCAGCGTTTTTTGTGATGCTTAAAGTTTGTTTTTGTTTTTTCTTCTCTGCTGCAGAGATAGCACTACCTTTATGGGGTTGTGATTCAAAGTGCATGTTATGTGCCAGTAAAGGTTTTATAACCGATTGGAAGCCTGGCCAGCTTCCCAAGATCTCCGGACTCCATTATTTTGAGAACTCTAATTATAAGGGCAGAAAATTATTACTGAGCAACAAGTAAACCGTATTCAAACCTGTGGCATATTACCAAAAGCTTGACTATTCTCTGAGCTTTCCACAAGCATGAGGGTGTTTTTCCCCCTTTTTATGTTATTTTATTGTTATCAGTATTTAAATTCCTTTATGCAAAATAACAGCACTGGTACTTTTAAAACTGTGTGATCTTGCTTAAAAAATCCATCTGAGGGCTTCCTGTCAGTGGTGTTTGAGGCACTGAATTCGACCAATTCTAAGTGCTAACATTAACAAAGGTTAATTTTTCTTTTGAGTGTGTACTGCCTTGCCTCTCCGTTGAATGCAAGCTCTCATCCAAAAATATGAAAGGATGGAAAAATGCCCGTTTTCAAGCATATTTGCAATGTGCCATTTGCTATGCTAAATTCTAAAAAGTCCTTGGGCCTAAGTGAGTGCCTAGCTGTTGCTGAGACATTTTGTAAAAAAGTGTAATTGTCATTTGAAAGACTAAGTGTAACAGCAGAGGGAAGTGTACACTCTATTGGTTTATCTGCTCTACTGCAATATCGAATTCACTGATTGTCAGGAATCAAAAAACAAAACCAAACCCTATAACTGCAATAAAATTTTAATAATTAATTTTTTTATAATTCTATCTCTAGGTTTAGCGTTGCATGTGCCTGGGGTGTTTGTGTTGGTATTTGTTTTGTTTTGAGTTTCTTTAACTTTGCAAAATGTGCTTAGTAAGAAGTTGTCAGCTTGTGTGCCAGAATTTAAAAGGGAGCCTTACAGAGGAGCTCCCAGTGTTTATTGCAGCCTTTTTCTGTTTAAAGATGGCTTTGTGAGGCTTACCTTATGGAGCTATGACTTTTTTTTTGGAGAGGTGCAAAAATACCACATGTTGGAATAATGTTTATATAGTAGGGATGGATTTTTTCCCTGAAACCTTCAGTGCTAGAGTGCAGTCTTGGAAGTCTTGGAGTTAAACACCCTGTCTGCAAAAAGAAAAACCGCAACAACAACAAACCAAACCCACACGCACAAAAGCCCCAAGCCCCCAAAACAGCAAACCCTTAGTTTTAGTAGGCCTATGTCTGTATAGAGGAAAGCAGTGGCTAGTATTACTGGGTATTGATGCTAGAAAAAAGACCAACAGAAGCTAAAAACAATATAGAAAATTAAGAGTAAATTGCATCTTCTTTGCATGTAGTTTTTTTTTATTTAGGTGCTGCATTAAGAACAATTTTGCCAACTTCAGTTGTCACCTTTAAATGTTTTATGGCAGATATATCTGAGCGGATTAGGCAGTGAAATTTGTAGTCTGATCTGCATAGTGTGACTTTGTAGGCTGGTAATTAGCATGGATACATAATATTCAGTGAGTTGGATGATTGGTGTTAGGTCTTCTCATATAGGAGGTGAACCCAAGAAATTCGCTAAAAGTTATTTATGATATTAAGCAATGTACAGCTTTGCTAACAAGCGTAGATCCAGGGATCTTTGAAATGGTTGGTATTACATCTCTGAAACTGTCAAGATGGATTTCTTCTGGTTCTCTTATCTCTAATAATAAAATGAAGCACAAAAAATCATTATTATTGGCCTCGGTCCAACTACAGTACTTGTACTGTCAGAAACGAGCCAGAGAATAAGTGCTTACTTCCATAGATGTATACAGGAGAACTTGGTAAGAACTATGTCGATAATAAAGCAAGCAAATCTGTCTCTTAGTATGAATGTGAAAGAAGTGATCTGCTGAATAATACATTCTTTAAACCTTTTCTGACAACATTCATGCTTTTGTAACATTAGCTGGTACTTTAAAAGGTTTTGAATGTGCTTGGTTTCTTACAGCTCACACTCCGGATAACAGCTTCCTTGGATTTGTGGTGGAGCAGCATCTGAATTCCAGTGACATTAAACACATTAATGACATCAAGAGGCAGAACCAATCTCTCGTTTATGGCAAAGTAGACAATTTCTGGAAGGTAAGTTTTCTATATTGATATACTTGAGGAAATTTATTTTGATCAATATAATAAAGTATAACTCTACACTTAAAAGTATCCCTTCTCTCTAAAACCATTAAGCTCTTTTTATGAAAATAAACATATTTAAATATTTAAAGTGAACATTTTTAAGTCTTTCTGATGAGGAAACTTCTGTTCACATTAATGTGGATTTTTTCATTTTTATGTAAACCTCTCTGTTAGAATAAAGATTTTTTTTCCATGTTCTTTATACGACAATTTTGGAAACTGCAGAAGCTGTTAAAAGTAATGTAAAATTGAAGGTGTCGGATATGTTGTGAACTTGAATCAGTCATAAATGTCAGTTATTTCTTTTCTTATATCTGTAACCAAAACTATGCTGCATTTTGAACTGGAAATTGTGTTTCACTAAAGAACCTAGAAGCATTCAATCTAATTTTATCTCCCTGTAATGATATCAGAGTTTTGTTTCTTAAATATGACTGTTACTGTGTTGCCTCACATCTACAGATGAGAGCTGCAGAATAACACCACCAAATTTTGGTCATTTTTTCTTCAATTTAAAGTGTAATGTGTTTTTAAGCTCACAGTGGTCTCTGCTTTTTGTCCACTGTCCTTTCCTGGAGCTCCCTTTTCCAGGCTGCAACCTGTGTTGAGTGTCTGGTGCAGTTTTCAAAGACGTTCTGTTAGTAAGTAACAACAGAATTTCTTCAAAATTACCTCTAGCTCTGTGAGTCCATACACTCTGTATGCCTTCCATCCTGCCTAAAAAGATATTATTTTAAGTCTCTTGTCAACTGAAAAAGCAACTGATCAGAACATATGGTGCCATACTGTTGTTGTTTAACCCCAGCCGACAGCTAAGCCCCACCCAGCTGCTCACTCACTCTCCTGTGGTGGAATAGGAGAGAGAATCAAAGAGTGAAAAAAATCGTGGGTTGAGACAATCCAGTTAAGCAAAGGTATTCATACACCACTTCCCATGGGCAGGGAGGTGTTCAGCCATCTCCAGGGAGCAGGGCTCCCATCACACGTAATGGCTGCTTGGGAAGACAAATTCCATCCCTCTGAATGTCCCTCCTTCCCCCTTCCTTCTTCCCCCAGCTTTTATTGCTGAGTGTGACATCATGCAGTTCCTTCTTCCCCCAGCTTTTATTGCTGAGTGTGACATCATGCAGTCTGGGACATCCCTTTGGTCAGTTGGGGTCAGGCATCCCAGCTGTGTCCCCTCCCAACATCTTGTGCACCCCTGGCCCATTCACTGGTGGAGTGGGATGAGAGGCAGAAAGGGCCTTGACTGTGTGTGAGCAGTGCTCAGCCATGGCTAAAATATCCCTGAATTACCAGCACTGTTTCCAGCACAAATCCAAAACACAGCCCCATACCAGCTACTGTGAAGGAAATTAACTCAACCCCAGCCCAAACCAGCATGTATATGGGACCAAACAATATGACAGTGTGAGAGCACTTATGTCTCACATTTTATTTCCATTTCTCTTCATTGGCATGCACAGTTTTCTGTAACCACAGAAGCAAGATTTAGTCTGATAGCTGTGATTGTATGGAACAAATTTTCAGGAAAAACAATAGCTACAAGTAAATGGTCTATCTGCATGACAAAATACCCAAAAACTTAAGAGAAATGGGAGAATGTTGTCAGTGGTAGCAAAAAGATAGAGCTGCTTGCTTCTTGGCTGCTGTCCTGAGAGAAATATGTATATTAGCTGTGCATGTTTGATTGAAATCTCAGGTTTATATTTGGGCTTATATCACTAAATGGGGTAATCTGTGTCTTTAAACTGAAATTTTGCTTTACAATATAGTAAATACTGCATTAATTATTCTTTTTGACTCATGGTATAGAATGACTTTGCATGCTTGCCCTCTTTGGAGGTCTGCAAAATACTGGAGCAGAGCTGGGATCTTTTCGTTCAAATCTTTTCTAACTGAAGCTCTTAGACTTTTAGTTCCTGATCTCATTATCAGTCTCTCAGGGACAGTTCCATGTCATAATCATCTATATATCCTGACCTGATTTGTAGTGCATGTCAGCACGATAGCCTGTTGAGTACCAGCTGGATTTAAGGAACAAGGTAGTTGCTTCATCACCAGGGTGTTTTTTTTTCAGAGATATATACCTTTCTCAGTTTATTCAGTGTGCATGAATTCAGAAATATTTATTAATAGCTTATATGCCCAGAGGGGAGATTTGTGATTGCCTAGTCTGAGATTCTGTGTGACATGCAGGATATCCATGGGCTGATTAAGACAAAACCATGGCTTTTTGGAAAAGAACATCCAATCTTGATTTTTAAATAGCATATGATGGAAACCTCACTATTTCCTCTGGTGAAATCCTCAGATAATTACTTTCTCCCTTAAGACTTTGCACTACTTCTGGTGCATGTTTCTAAATGGCAATTTCTAGTCTTAGTAGTAGTTACAGACTTTGCCTACGGGACTGGTGATGCCTCTGTTCTGTTTCCCTGTTGGAATATATGGATTGAGATCAAGAGTGACCCATAGTCATCTCCCAAAAAGCCGGTATGTGCTAAACCACTGAGACCTTTGTGCTTTCTAATCCTTAAGTATTCTCACATGTCTGGTTTTTTCTGAGCTTTTTCAAGATTACTTGCATTCCACTTGAAATGTGAATGGTAGCCAAGGGCATGTGGGCACCAGCACCAAATTGAAAAGAAATCCTATGTGCGATGTTAGGCAGATCCCTTTTCACTGTTAGGAACTTGCATTTAGATGAATGAACAAGACCATTTTTTAGATAATTTTTTTTTTGACCTGTTGCTTTTCAAGTCACCGCTCTGTTCCTACCAGTACTGCCTGTCTTGTTTCTTCCAAGATGTATGACTCAATACCTGGTCGTATTCAAACACTTACTGTATGCTTGTAACGTCGAGCACATTAAAGCTGCAGCTTGCAGACTGGAACTGCAGCCCTGCCCGTATGCCCTGGTACATAATGCACAGTCACTGCAGATGAGCTTTGAGTTGGTGGCAGTCTGGGATGTCTTATCTGGAGTGATAAAATCCAATTCTTGTGAACAACAGAAAGGCTGAACACTAATCTTGTGTCTGTGTAATTTGCTTATTTCATGTTTCCTTCAATTTCCCTGTTCAGTGCTCTTTTCATCTGCCACCATGGCTTGTGTGGAACCAGACTTCACCATGAGAGTGGTGAGACCCTGGAATGGGTTGCCCAGGGAGGTGGTTGAGGCCCCATCCCTGGGGGTCTTTAAGGCCAGGCTGGATGAGGCTCTGGGCAGCCTGGTCTAATGGGAGGTGTCCCTGCTCATGGCAGAGGGGTTGGAACTGGGGGATCCTTGTGGTCCCTTCCAACCCTGACAGATTCTGATCTGTTTTAGCAGAGGACTTTAGAGCCCTAATGGCTCAATGGTTGGACTTGATGATCTTGGAGGTCCCTTCCAACCTAAATGATTCTATGATTCTATTTATCTTGCTCCTTTTCTTCATTCTAAACATGGCCAATTAATGAGAAGTGTAATCTCCACAGAGTGCATGTGTCACTGCTGGGTGTGATGTGTCATTGGAGAAGCACAGTGTTGGGGGAGAGCATTCCAGTCCCTGGACTGAGGTGGTTTTGGGGAGTACTGGTTGCAAATTAATTGTTTCGTTTTAAACCAAGCAGGTTGAAATGGAACTAAGGTATGCACAGAACCTTTTTTCCCTGGGAGTGGGACTAGAATAGCTAACTGCTGTCATGGCTTTATATAGATGTTTATCGGGGTCCCTTTCTGCATCTGGCTAGGCTTGTGAAGGAAGAAAAAAACAAAAACAAAAAACAAAAAACAAAACTGAAGATGCAGATTCTCATTTCAACTTTGCTAGAACCCCCCATATTCCCAGCTCTGCTACTGGGCAGAGTTGGTGAGGCCATCTCAGACCACCTGCTGTGTGCACTAACCAGGTTACTCTGGCTGGAGAATTATGGATTGCTTACATATTACAGTGGGCAAGTCTGGATACCTCTTCCTGGAGGTCGGGAAGGAGGTAAGCTGCAGAGGCTGTAAGGTACATCTTGTGTGCTTCCTTCTGATAACTACATCAGTCTTAAGTGGGTTGAGGATAACAAATAGGAGACTCTGAAGAATTTGCCATGTTTCTAAAGGTTATCCTTAGATGTAAGCTATCAAGGGTCAATATTTGCCAAGTTTTGGGTGTGTTTGTTGTAATTGAGGTTTGAGGTTTTGTCTGGGATATCTGGCAGTACTAAGGAGTAAAGGAAGTCCTATCTTTGACTAAGTGAAAAAGGAGGAATGAATAAAATGTGAGTGAAACCTGTAATGCTCTCCATTATCAAAACTGGCTTTAATTACAGAACATTTCAATTACAAGGGAATGTTTGAAGCCTTTCATGTCATCTTAGCTCTTGTTTCAGTCTAAGTAATTTCTTTGTTCTTCATGCAACTTCCTGTCATACTATTTCAAAACTTGTGCCCTTAATCCTAGAAAGAAAATGAGTTGACATTCATTTTGTACTATTTGCTATTTCTTTTTTTTTTATGGGATGCTGTGAAAGAAGGCAGAATTTTGCTTGTATCAGAAAGAAGCCATCAATGCATGACATACAATTGTGTGATGATTGCTTTAGTAGATTTTATTATAGTGTGTTGGAATTGCCTTTAAAATATTTCTATACTTAAAGTTAAAATTTCTGTTCTTAAAGGTAAGATAATGTGTGAGTTTGTTACTAATGCAGCTCGACAAGATGGGCATTCTTCTTAAATGTAGACTGTCTGCATAACAATTTTTGAACATAAAACAAGGCTGCTCTTACTAATGTCTTCCCTTTATAGCTCCATGTGACATATGTAATTTCCCCATCATATGTCCTCTTGCATGAAGTGGGAGGAAGAAAATGAAGAGAAATCAGAAAAAATTAGACTTCTAGGAATAATTTTGTTAAGTGCAAAATTCCTGCTAGCAGCATTGCATTTTCCTTTCCTTCTCATTGTTTTTTGTGCCTAATATTTAGCAATGTACTTTGGCTGAACATTTAATTTTATTCTTTAAGCTAAAAAACATAAGGAAAGGGAGGAAAGATCCTTCTCACTTTTTTTTTCCCACATGGTCAGTGTATTCACAAACTTGTGGTGGTTTTGTCTTCAAATTTGCAGCAGCCCAGTGGGCTTATCTTGGTCAAAGCCAACTCTAGTTGCTGTCGCCAAGCGCCAGGAGCCTTGTCCTGCTTTATGCCACATAAGAAATTGAAATGAGCCAGACAGTTTAGTCTGGCAACATTTCTGACACTCACCATTTGCTTCTGAAAGAAGTATGGATCAAAAAAACAAGTAAATCAAAGCAAATGAGCAACCATGGGTGCAGTAATTAAGTATACATATATGTACACTTCTGAAATCTTATTCTTCAACATTTATTATGAAAATTATAATTTATTATGAAAAAAAATTTAAAACCATTTTCCACAAATATTTAACTTTCAGACAGGTCAGTGATCAGCTTTGCTTTTTGCAGAACCCTCCAGCTGGAAAATGAATTAGTGAGGTCTTACAATACCAGTTGATGCAATCATCTGCTAGTACTGGATTACCACAAGACCAGCACAACCTTTTCTTCCTGTGGTCTCACTTCTATTTTCTTCCGTATGCCTGTACTTTTCTGCTTCAGAACTTACACTGCACAAGTATGTCTCATTGTTAGTTCTGGAAATTTCCATTCAAAGGAGATGAAGTTCCTGGTTCGCCATTTGTGCGCACTACATGACAGTGCTGGGGTGGTGGTTGGGCTTGATGATCCTAGAGGTCCTTTCTAAGCATAGTGATTCTAGGATTCTATTCTATGACACTGCTAAATCTTTCCAAAACCTCAGTGTTAAGAAAAAAAGGGAGAAAAATTTGCAGATTAAGAAGTGCAAGAAATGATGAATGAAGTAGGTAAAAATGAGGCTATGGAGCTGAATAAGCAGGATTTCTGGCAGACCAGGAAGAACCCAAGTCTTTACTGAGATTTTTTATTCATTCTTTGTGCAAAGATTGTATATGTGCAAATAATATCTGTAGATGCACTAATGTGTGTTTAACGCAGATAAATTTGATAGGTGTCTAACAAAGAAGCAATAAATGGACGTTCAGGGAAGAGCAAAAGCATGCAGAAGTTGCAGAATACTTCCTTTGCATACTCTCTCTTTTGCCAGATATTTCAGCTCTGGGGGTTTTCAGAATCTGTCTATTGATAAACTGAGGTCTCAGTAAGAGATGACTTCAAAGCACTTGTCTAATTGTGAACTTGTGTAAACTTTTTTGCCTCCACAACATTGTCTGTCATGGAGTAGCTAAAATCTCTGACCTGTTGCAGGAGGAATCATTAACTTTTGGATTTTTCTAACCTTGCCTCCTCCTAGCTTTGGCTTCCCTTGTATCAGGATATTATGAATAGTCAATCACTATCCATGTTCTTTATGGCAATTACAGTTCTGTAATTCTACCAAGCTGTCTCTTCCAAGCTGAAGAATCGTTAATGAATCCATTACAGATTGCTGTATGTGACAATGGAAACTGTTCTGTAGTTTGGATTCTTCTTAACCTCTCCAAACCACATCCAGTGTTCTTTGGCTTCTTTCTGAGAAAAGGGACCAAAACCACAACGTTTGTGGAAGGAGAGAACTATGTTTTCACAGAACAGCTCAATGATATTCTCTTTACTATTCCTTTCCAAATAATTCCTGTCATTTACTTGCTTGGTGAGTTAACTGGCTGCTACGGAACACTGATTTTTTTCATGGGCATATAATCATATCCACATAATGCAGTCTTCATTCTTGAGCAGTGCTGGTTAGCTCAGGTCTATTATTCATATGTGAAGCTAGGACTGGCTTTCAACACATGCATCACTTTGTATTGAATTTATTAGTCCTTTTATTTCCTAGTCATTCCATCTTTTAGATCACTCAAGGCTTTCTGAAAAGCAGTAGAACCCTAAGTATTGAGTATTGTGATTTTTTTTTCTTCAATATTTTGAAGTTAGTTTCAGTTTTGCTGCTCTGAATAGTATGTATTGACTGCAGTTCTCTGTTCTATCACTTCTCTGTTCTCTTTTGCATGATGATTGTTCATTTACAAGGCTGATTCCCTTCTATCCCAAAAAGACTTAGTTCCTTTAAGACCTTTTGAAGTCTTTCTATGTGCTGGTTGTCCAGCTTGTTGGCCAGCATTCACACAGGGATGTGGAGGAACAGTGTACAGAATTTACATGACAAAAATAGTGAGTGAAAGTAGAATTCTTAAAAGGTCACTTGCTGCCAAGTAGTAAAGAAACTTGTTGCCTGATTTTAGAGCTATTACTAAGATTATGTGCAAATATTGAGGGAAAGTCTCTGATCTGTGCTGCATATTGGCTACAAATACAGTCTACAGCTAATTGCTTTTGGAATGCTAGTAGTCTTTAAAACTCAAAAACATATGGCACTGAAAATTAAAGTAATTTCTCTTGTTTGCAAACTAGGATAGTGTACTAATTTTTAATTATTTTTTTTAATGCAACATTAAAGCTATTACTCTTCTCTGAGTCTTTTCCAAAAAGCCTTTAATGCTTCAGGTAAGTAGAATATTTGCAGGTATCTCATGGGACTCAAATACCAGGTATTTAGATGAAGATGTGTATTCAGTTATTCATCTGGCAAGGGTGCATCTTACTAAGGTGAGATTCACAATTTTCTTTGCAAAGAAGATAGAGTAATTATTTTGCATCTCTGACAAAAACCAAGTGAAGGCTTGATATTTCAAAATGAGTTTTTTAGTATTATTATGCCAAGTATTGTTCAGGCATGCTGAGATTACAGGTATCTGACAATGGTGTGTCTTTTTTCTCCAATTAGAAATTAATAGGACCTTGGTATTGATTTGTTTATATCTATACTATGAGTAAGAAAGCTGCTGTTTTCTGACAGTATAATAGAAAACGAATGGAAGATCAGAGATGATAAAAATAACATAAGACTGAGTGAATTTCTTCTCTTTCTGGTGTTTGTGGTACAGGAGATAAAAAAAAAAAAGTCGTCTCTGATTGAACACTGCAGCTTAAAATGTGTAGAGACTGAGAATATTTTACTGTTGCTATTACAGGATAAGAAGGCTTATCTGGATGTCATCCACACCTATATGGAGGTCCATGGAACTGTTCATGGGACAAGCACCATTTATATTCCTGGCTACGTAAAAAACCATGGTATACTCAGTGGGCGGGATTTGCAGTTTCTACTGAGAGAAACCAAAGTAAGTTGGTCAAGAGGGAGTATTTGCAAAAATAGCTGTGGATAGACAGTATCTGAAGTGTGTGCATTTCACCTCCTACAAACAGGCTCCAAGTTTAGAAGTATTGGGAAAATAAATGATCAGATGTGAAGGTGCTTAAGTTATCTTCTGTGTTGTATAAGATTATGTTTTTCGTCATGTCCAAGTTTTGTGGATTGACAGCTATTGTAAAATTGGGGTGACAACCTACAGTCACAGGCACATTTAACAGCCAGCTTGAGAAATATGGATAAATATGTTTTTCATTTTCTTCAATGTGCCATTCAGCTCAGGGAGCTTATCAGCTGAGAATGCTCCTTGTTGTATGCCCCTGGTGTGGAGGTTCAGTCCTGATACCTGGCAGCTGTAGAGCCAGCCTGCTGGCATTGCCCTGCAGTTGACTTCCACCTAAAGTGACCCTGCTCTCTTGGGAAGCAAAGAAGAAAAGCAAGCACTCAGTTGGCCATTCAGTTCCTTCCTCCACTTTGGTTGTGCAGAGAGAGCAAGCAAAGAGCGTGCTTTTTGTGCTGTATTTTGCTGTGCCCCATAGTCAAGGGAACTCAAGATAAGGGACAGTATATGCATTGAAATAAGTAAACTTTTGTCCGCATAGTTAGAATGCTTTGTGGGCTTTTCTGTGCCATTCCCATCATCTCTGTGGTACTTTACAACATTAAAACACTTTAGTAGATTACATCTAAATAGGATATTTAACTTTCACTTGGTGAAAGAAGTGGTTTGTGTGTTTAAAATTAGTAAAGTGTGTGGAACTGCACCACTCACTCCCCATTGTTGGTAGTTTCTTGCTGTGCAATTCTACAGAAGAGTCTATTAAAAAAAGAAAAGGAAAAAGCAAGCAGCTCCCAGTCTTCCCACACGACTGCAGAGATCTTCTTTTTGAAATATTTGGGAAAATGATGGTAATTTGACATCTCTGTGTGACAGCTGTTGGCAAATTATTACATTTTAGAGGCAACCACTGTGTGTGTGTATTTGATGCATGCAGATACACATAATGTTGCAGACTAAAAAGTCAACATTTACTTTCGTCATGGATAATACTGAGATTACACAGCTTTTGCCTGTGTGGGGGATGAAATCACTGTGTTAATCATAGTACTAATGTGGGAAGAATATTGACATTGTAATAACTCCAAGCACAAACAGTGACTTTCTTCTGGAGGGGAAAGAAAACCCTGTTCTATTCACTGGAATTGTAAAATAAGCTGATGGCCTTCTTGTAGAATTACTGATGTCCTTATAATTTACAAAGTACAGTTCATAATAATAGCTATGTTTGACTAAGTCTTCCTCTTATTCTTTATCAGCTATCTTGGACATATTACACTAGAAAACTTGATGTTCAATATTAAGTGAACATCTATTGAACAATATTAAGACTAACAACTCATCTAGTTGTTACTGGGTTTATTTGCTGTGCTCTAGGATGCAGTGTAAAGACACATTCAATTGAGGACAAGTTCAAGTTGATACATTCTCATTATGCAGCTCAGCACAGTGCAGTTCTTATGGGGTTTGTGACACAGGAAGCAGGCACAGGAAGTAGCTGGACTAGTTTCACCCAGTGTTAATTGCAATATCAGATGGAAGATGCCATCTGTGATTGTGAAGCACTCCTGGGATCATAAGTTGCTTATTTTTCACAAATGGTATTTTTGTGAAAAGCATGGATCTATGTGGTGGTATTTTCAGAGTCTTTACAAGCAATTTAGATTTTAATGTTTTGTTTTGTTTTTTAAATGCTGTTTTAGTTCCTTGGTTGTTTTATTTTTTTTTTCTTGCTAAGATTGGAGGAAATACTTTGAAAATCTGTTGCATTTCCTAGTAGATGGCTACTACTGATAAACAGTGATAAACACATCAGTACTGAGAAACACAACAATAATAGAAATCTGCATCAGGGAGCCAGTGTCTTTATCACATTATCTTTTTTATACTATCTAATAAACTTTTTTTTTTTTTCAAATTAAGGCTGTAAACAGTATTTTCATATATCTTTTCTCAACATTTGTTAGCAGATTTGCAAAAAAAAAACAAAAGCTGTTTTCCTATTAAGGAAATTATTTATTTATGATGCAGCCAGGCTAACAATACTTTGACCTGATGATAAGCAGTTAAGAGTCCATCTGCTTCTCGTAATACTTACACTGCATTCCCATTTGCCTAACAATAGTATTTCTCATGTTGCAATGAAATGAAACAATTAAATATGGCTTACTGCATCATGAGTTCTGTTTATTATTCCTGTCTAATACTGTGCCAATATATCTACTTTAACAGAAAAACAGCGGCATCCAGAGATTGAGAAGCAGAAACTGAGATTTACCATCTACTTTGTTCAGACTTTTTCTGTTGGAAGTAGATTTTAGGGCAGCTTTTTGTGTAGGTTTCTTTGCTAGCAGATCATTAGTATCTCACAGGTACACTGGCTGTTCTGTCTCAGCATATGGTTGCCTCTCCGTGTTGGTCAACAGACAAGAAGACAAGTCTTCTTGTTTCCTGTACATTCAGTTTCAGATTTTGATATCCTTTAAGAAAAAATACTTTAATGTCGTTTAGCCTAAAACACCACTCACCTGTCTCTGCTGGCCATCTGCTGTCCACATTGGTCAATTGTGTTTATATCAAATGGATCATGGATTGAATTGCCAAAATAAGTGCAGGTTTTCCATAAAAATCAATCTGACTTGAATGGGAGCTTTGTGCCCCAAGGAGCCTCGTGTATGTGTGCATATGCATCCAGTGATGTTCAAGGACACTTTTTAATCATAATCACTTTAATTGCTAGGCAACATGACCAGAGCCCCGTAACGAATTTAGTTATGGGGTTTTGTCACTGGACAATCGATGTGCTTGAAGTATGTGAATAATTGGAGCTCTAACTCCGGGGTGGTAACATCTGTGGGTACAATGCTCACTTCAATCATCTAGGCCTGCTGCTCGCCGTCTCCAGGCAACAAACTTAGTCTTTAAGCTTCCAAAAACTTTCAGATTTTTCTTTTTCTAAACATATGTTTTAAAGAAACCAAGAGCATTGATTGTCCTTCATTGCATGTGATTTCAGCAGTGTGTTAGCAAGTTTTTGTTAGGTCAGCGGACAAATGATCTGGTTTTCAGAAGGTCAGATCTAAATAATAATTTAACAAATCATACAGTTCAGCAGACTCAGCAGTGTTAGGTTCTGTTGCACTGTTTCATTTTGCCCTTAGATAGCAAAATACTGATAGGTGACAGCTCGGTCATGATTCTGGATTAGAGCTTTGCATTTCTAAAATGTACTTGGTCTCTCTGCAGTAATCAGTATAGGACCCAGTTATTCTCAAAAGCATGCAGCTGCCATTTCAACTGGTGTGTATTACAAAGCAACACATTTCAAAATAAGTCTATTTTCCAAGTAGGAGGGGGCTGTTTGAGATTCATCATGGCTAGTTCAGCTGTGTAGCGCATGACAAAAACGAGACATGTCAACAGTTCCTAATGAGAAGATGTAAAGCCATTCATCACGTCAGGGAAAATAGGGTAGGCGAGCTGGCAGCCTTCCTGCCAATTTACATGGCTTCTTGCCAAGTGGGCAGCTGGAGGAGTTGGACCAGACTCTCTTGGAAGAAACCAGTACTGAATTCTTGAGAAATATTCCTCCCTTCAAGAAAGTTTCAGATGCGACTTTTTACTTAAGTCACTGTTAATTTTTGAAGGAATCCAGATTCTTTTACAAAGTGGAATTTATGATTTCTTAATGGTGATTAAGGAGGAAGAAATCCCTGTTTAGACAGTTTAGGAAAAAAAACCTTGCAATGTTGGATAAGTGGAAATAGAAAAACAAACTTTCTTTTTTTCACATTGCCCCTTTTATGAAGTAACACATTTTTTACTTCCACACACTTGACAAAATCAGCTGAAAAGACACTTAACTAGTGATTCTATTCTGAAGTTGTTCCAATCACAAAAGGATTGACTTTTCCAGAAAGTATTTTATATTCATGAGAAAAATGTATCATGATAGTTAACCTTTGCTACACTTCTCTTTCTGTAATTCAGAAGAGAATATCTAAGTTCAGTAAGGAGGCATACAAAAGTGGTGATAGACATACCAACCTGACAGAGTAAATTAGTTAAAGCACAGTAATGTTAGAAAGGGAAGAGGAGAAGATAAACACTTGTGTTTATGGAAGTGTAGCATTTAGTTTCTGGACTACGAAATTTTTCTCTTAAGTATTCAACTAGTCAGAATTACAGTCAGCCAAGTGAAAGATTCACTCCTTATTTTATGCTCTTGTCTATAATTTAGAAAGACTGTTCAAGTACTCATTTTAATAATAGTCTGATCTGGGGCTGTAAACTCCGCATTAAATTCCTTAATGTCAAATGAAAGTCAGTGGTGTCCAAAAAATAAAACAAAACCACACTGTTTTTTCGCAGGAGTGGCTGTGAGGTCCTGTTCAAGCCTCTACCTAGCTACTATACCATGAAAGGAGTGCTTACGTGGTAATCTGAGAAGAGTGGTGTCTTGGATGGTCTCATGCTGGGTAGCCAACTCAAAAGCCTGAAATTCCAAACCAGGGGTTCAGTTCTCTGCAAAGGCAGAAAAGGCTCTCAAGGAGCCTTTCTTATGAAAACCAAAGTATTTCCTGCCTGAAGGTTTCAACATCTGCTTTACTTAACTGGGCAATTGAGATTGCAGGTCCAAATACCTGAGTTTGATTCACTCAGACCTGCTGGCACATACACACTTGGGTAGCCGACCTTGCAAACAAGGAAATGTTTTTTTGGTAAATGGTAACCACGCTGCTGTTACCATCATCGTTTTACATCTATATTTATTTGCTGTGATTTCCTTTAGATATACTTTAATACTGTAAACTGCTCCTGACAATCATCTCATTATATGGGGTGTTAGCATACAGGGCCTACTGTGGCATGTGCCCACTTAAAGCACTGTAAGAAAAATTACGGTTCTGTCTTTCAAAAACATTTGAAAGGTGGGAAAAATGCTGACATACAGAAGATGAAATTATTTTTTCAAGCACTAATCAGCCAGTAAAGCATAAAGGAATTCTACTCTGCTTAGCAATTTTGCTGTAGCTAACAAAGCAAGGTTAGGACTAGCATACCTGAACCATGTGTACCCACAGTAATGTTACCAGCTTTGTCAAATTTGGAGTTTTGCATCGTAGATCTTCGGCCGTAGGGTGAAGGTGCCTCTCCCTGGTGGACTGTGTTACCAGACCTGGCATCTGGTGAGAGAATGCCCTAAGAGCCATACTCAGCACTTTGTGGTGGAGTCAACAACCTACATTTACCATCACAGAGTGGTGGAAACAATCTTTGCCATTTTTTGTGAGAGAGACTTGTCTTCCACACAGCCCCAACTCTGCTGAGGATGGATGCTTGTTTCACTGGTACCTGAGAATTGTTGCCTGTTATTTCTACTTTTTTTTTTTCCACTTATTTTTCAATTGGTGACTTGCAGCATTTGTTGCATACTTTTAGGAAGTACCTTTACAAATTGTTTTAGGCTTTCTGGAAATAACAAGCTGAATGTATTTCAAGGGATTAGCAATTTAGAGCATCGTAAGAATGACTTGGAGACATTACCTGTGTTCTCTGATGCTTGTTTTTTAAATCATTATGCATGTGACTTTCTCCAGGCAATTCAGATAGTCCTCAGTTTTGCTCTTTATACCTTACAAAAATACTAGCTCCCTAATCAAGGACCATTAATAAAGGGCATTTTTCAGGAGCAGAGTCTTGACTCAGTTTGGGAGTTTCAGCTGACCTGAAGGCAGTGTGATGGGGAGTGAGAGAAGGTTTTGGAGGGTCGGAGGAAGAAGCTCAGGGGGCTGTGGGCAGCTGTGAGCCAGGCTTCAACCTTGGGCCACCAAGGCAGCACAGCGCCCACACAGGCACCCTTGTAGCAATCAGACACATTCTTCTTTCTTTCTTCAAGGGTATGGTGCTGCTTAGAGGTAAGGCTGGAAAATGGATGTGAAGCAGGTGGTAAGCTATTTATTATAGATTAAGTGTTGACAGTGTGCTCTGTGCTGTCAAAACATAAAACGCTGTTTCTTTCCCTGTGGAGCTTCCTCCTAAATAAACGGACCAGTCAGAGACAGAACTGTTCAGCAGTGCACAGCAGCGGTTTATTAAAAAGTGAAAAATGAAGCAAACAAACCAGCATTCTCCACATAACAGACAAACACAGGATCATAGGAGAATTGATACTTCAGGTGGTTTAATTGCTGGTTCTCAGCTGGTTTTCTGCCTGAACTAAGGAGTAGTTTAAGTAAATAACATTATGTGTGCAGATTGCTTGAAATGGTTTCATGTCTGTAATTGATAATTTTCAAGGGATTACCTTTTTTAAATTAAGCCTCTTTTGAGATAATTTTTTTTAGATGATTTTCATCTCTCTTGAGATGAAATTTAGTATGTTTTTTCTCTGACTACTAGGTAGTGCATCTTATGCTGTATGTAAAGCCCAAATTTAGATAATCTAGCTGTAGTGGAAATTGTCTTCCAGATCTTTGGTTTTTATCAGCCACCAGAGAGTTTCCTGTAAGATTTAAATCTGTGAGATAGCTGAGAACTTTTTGCAAGTAGGTGGGTTTTGTAAGCTGAATATTGAAAACCAAAACATCAGTATTGCACTCCATGCAGTGAAAATTGTGTGTCCTCAACTACGCTGAGGAATGTTAACTTGCTTTTTAAAATGAGCCAGCTCAGAACTTGTACTGGTGCCGTGGGTTGGAGAGGATTGATGCTGCAGTGCCCGTGCGTGACAATTCCCACCGCAGACAGGATTATGCATCAATGCTAAGATCAGCTCCTAGAAAGGGCCTTCAGGTTGGAATCCTCTGTTCCTGGGATTAATTTCCATGTGCAGAAAATTTAATGCAGAGTAGTATGATTTAACCTCTTTGAATACATACATCCTGAATACACGATCCTAATAGTTATGAAGGTTGCTATTTATTTTCTTGAAAAAGGCAGTAGCTGCATATATACATCATGCAGCAATGCTGAGAAATTGTTACTACAAATCAGAGCTTGTAATTCTCCCATAATGCAGATGTTCAAATAAAGATGAGTAATACTCTATTTAATTCAGGGGCTTTAATTATGGGGGGCCAGGGAAGGGGTCAAGATTGAAATAAAAGCCAAGCAACTCTGAAAAAAATATTACATGTCTTTACATTGGAGAAAAGCACTGCCCTTTCTAGGCCACCTGTAATCTCAGCAGGTGTAGGAACAGCTTTGCAAGGCATTTTAGCTCCTTCAGTTTACCTTTCAGGCGCTGAACCCTCTTAATCCTATGCAAGCTCTTGCTGCCTACAGGCACGATGTCTTCAGCTGATCGTTGCTGCCATCTACCGTTTTAATTAGCAGACTTAATCAGCCTGGCAGCAGCATGTTCCGAGTGGCAAAACCGGCAGGTTAGCCCATGGGGGAGAGAGGGACAACAGTAGAGTAGCTGTTCCGGGAGGCTGCTGCAGTAAACCTGTAGCTACAAGAGAGCCACAGCGGTTTCATTTCAGACCAGCAAACTACTTTTTTTTTTTTTCCCCAAAAAAATAACTGAAAGGGTCTGTTGTTGCTTCAGCTCCATGAAAAATCACCTCAGCTCATTACAGAAGATTATTGTCAAATGTGTTTTACAGGACATTCTGTTACAGCTTGGATAGGAGGGAGTAAGCTGCTAAATTTCTCCCATCTTCCTCTTAATGTTACATATTTTTAGGCTGATATATTTCCAATGCTTTGTTGTTTATTTTAAATTAGCTTTAATTTTTTGTAAAGAACAAAAATTAAGACAGTGCTTATTTTCTACTTTTCAGCTGTTTGTTGGTCTTGGATTTCCATATGAAGGACCAGCTCCTTTAGAAGCTATTGCTAATGGATGTGCTTTCCTAAATTTAAGATTTAACCCACCAAAAAGCAGCAAAAACACAGAATTTTTCAAAGGCAAACCTACACTCCGAGAGGTAAGCTTTATCAATCTTGGTAGTTCCTTTATTGAAAATGATTGTGGATTTCTTTTTAGTAACACAACACAGGAAAAATTGCATAAACGTTCACAGTTTGTTGCAAAAGGTGTGCAACTGTTATTTGCTTTAGCTATTGATAGGATTATCAGTCCTTATTTTTATAGGCTAATAAAAGTTTTCCATTAACATACTGTTGAGCTTTACCTCTAGATTGGCTTGTGTGTACTTTCTGCTAATTCTTACTGATGGACCATAAACTGAAGTTTCACTTGAAAACCTGATGTTGTGCCCAGGAACAGATCGTGTCACCTGATACACGATGTGACGTTTGAAAGCAGTTTATTTTGCTGAAGAAACAAAAATTAACTGTGTACTAGGCAGGAAGTGAATAGGTGTTAAAGTAAATTATAAAATGCCATTTGTGGCTTGTTGTGTGTTTGGGGATTATTATGTTCTTTTCCTCAGAAAAGACCAGCTCAAGGCACCATTGAGCTTAGGTGTTGGTGGTCACAGCCCACCATGTTTGAGGTTAAACACTGAAGGCATTTGGAAAACAGACTCTTTAAGATAACAGGAAAACCAAACCTCAAGCTTTCAAAACAGCTAGTGTGTTTAGATTCTAAAGTGAAAAATGAAGCTGGGTAAACGAGCCCCTCATCCTGGCACTGATTTGGGAATATTTTTCTTCTTCAGTGTAGGTAGAATTCAACCTATACCACCTAGAAGTGTTTAGCTGTTATGTAGCCATTTCTGACATTAGACACATCTTTTGTCTGTGACCATGGCTTGTTTGTAGGTGTATATGCATATTTTCTATACGTACCTACCTGAAGGGAAAGCTTTATGGGAACGCTTAAGATTACAAGAACTTTGCACAGCCATATTTCCCAATAAAAGTTATAGCTTGGGCTATATGAATTGCTTACTGAGCAGTGCCACGTAGTTGATAAGCAGAAGGCAGTTTTCCATTTTAAACCAGGAACATAAATTCCTTCTGGTTTTATGATCCAGGGCTGTAGTTGCCTTTCAGCTCATCACACACTCAGCTTGTACAGGATGAGAGTTCAGACTCGCCCCTTCTCACAGCTTGTGTCTCTAGTGAAGGAGAGAGCAATAAGGGAAAAAAAGTCTGTTTAAACTTTCTCCTTGGGCTTGGCACCTTTCAAATCTTTTCTTCTGTGGGCTGCTTAACTGTTTGCCTCGTTTCCAGTTGTTCTGTGCCCCAACACTAACTGGTCAGGCTCAGTAAGTAATCTGGACCCACTTAACTCTTCAGTAGGAGCTGTAGTGCTTGGAATGCTGTGCTAAATCCCACTGGCATGTGTCAGTGCTAACAGAAATGCTGTGCACCCGACTTGCACAGAAAAATAATATAATGAACATTGTTCATGAATATTGCTATGTCACATGCTCTGCTGACCTATCCTAAGAGGAATCTTTTCTCTAACTGGTTTGCACAATTTAGATCCGATTGCCAGTAATTCATGTGCTGGTTCTTTGGGATTAAGAAGGTCCTTAAATACTTGTCTCAATTTTTTCAGGTGATAAAAGGAGAACAGAAATGCTTGTGTTGTTCTGTGAATTGCTTATCCATAGACCAATTTGAAGACAAGGGCTGTGTTTAGTTCTTTTGTAAAGTAAGCAGTGCAAGTCACTATTTCTTTCTTATTCTAGGAAGAATTTATTGGAGGGGGGAGTTAACTGTTTCCCATCTAGGCCCAAGATGGGGTTCTGTAGTGAAGACTCTACAAAAACTGTAAACAACAATTTTCATTTTAGATCAGTTGTCTTGTGATAGGACATGGTTCTGCTGAGGGAAAAAGGCAGAAGAGGAGGAAAAAAAGAAAAGAAAAAAAATCACCTTCAAGCAGCCTGGTTTCTACCACTATTTATATCAATATTTCTTCTCCATTACAGCCTTACATACCTCCTCCATGCCTCCAAAGAATAAAACATTGTATGCTAAATCTAGTTGAAATGTGTACTTGGTGGGTGTTGTTCCTTTCATTTTCTGCTTTTAGGAAGGAGAAAAAAAAAAGACCTAAATTAGAAATTCTAACTCCAAATCTATTTATAAGAATTCTTAGAGATTTAAATTATAGACAGAGGGAGTATCTTCTGAATATCTAAAACATTAAGCCTCAGCTAATTAAAGCATTTCAGTATAAGGAAATAGGCTTACTATTTTTTGAGAGTATAGATGCAAAATAACTGGTGCAATAAAAATATGTTGCTAGGTAGTCTTAATATTTAGAACAGCTACTAGTCTGAGTAGTTCAGTTGTTTGTCTTCCAGACCAGGTCTGGCTTCAATGTTGCTGTCTGAGATGATAAAGAAAGCCAGGTCTAAGACATAGTTCCTAAAGCTTTGTGGAATTCAAAACACTATTTTATATTCTTATTTTTAAAGGTGCAATAGAAGGTGGTTTGTTGTTACTGCAAGCAGTAGGAATGTAGCTTCTGCCATTTGATGTCCTGGCATAAGGCCTGGGAACTCAGTCTTGGTAACCAAAGTTTTAGGTACATTAGTTTTAGTGGCAGTAGAACAGCTATTGAAAAAAGGTTAGTATAGGTCTGTCTTCAGGAAGCATTGGACTTGTGGGAGGAATTTAAAACACACCGAGGGGAGCACAGTGCAGCTTTTGCTTCCTTTCAGTATGTTCATTTCTGTGTTCCACTCACTCCTGCACAGCCTGTCACAAAATTACTTCTAGTGCCATCCTGCTAGTTTTGAAAGGCATCTCTGATAGAACTTTTCATAGTTATCTCCTTGGGTATTTATTGAATTTGTTTTCTGACAAAGCGATGAGCAGAATATCAGTTAACACTCTTGCTGAGGTCACATTACTCTTGTACTATCAGCAGTGAGAGTCAGAATTCATCCAAAAGCGATAGAAATGATTCTTTATTCACTGCTACTCACAGAAGCTTGGAAATGTTTGAAATGTGGAGGAGAGACAGGGTGAGGACACTGTCTGAAGGTGAGACAGGGCGAGGATGACAGCTCTTGAGTCACGCAGGTCTAACCAGGACTGGTAGCAATTACAGGTTGTGAAAGCAGAGGGCTGCTCTGTGAGTGAGCTGTGGGGAAGCAGGGTCACACTGCAAGTTATTTCAGTAAGTGTCAAGTCTTCTGTGATGTGGTCATTAGGAGGATCAAAGCTACGTATGAGAGGTGCATAAATGTTACTTGTGATCTGCATTATTTTCTGGTTCTCCGTTTTCCAACTAAACTCACTCTCTAAATTAAAACACAGGAAATCTGAAAGAAATCTTGGAAGGCATGAGTTAGACCATTAGATTCTAGCTGAATTGCATTATCCCAGTGCATTTCATCTAAAAATCTGATGAAGAAAGTGAGAAGGAAGGATATATTGACACATTAATTTTTACCAATATTATTTCTTCCTTTCAGTTGACATCTCAGCATCCTTATGCTGAAGTTTACATTGGGAAGCCCCATGTCTGGACTGTAGACATCAATGATCTTTCTGAAGTTGAGAAGGCTGTGAAATCAATTTTGAATCAAAAGGTGAGAAAAGTGTTTTCGATTTGTCATCAGTGCTTGAAGGGGTGTGTTGTGCACGCAGAATGCTTCCTAATGTTAATCTAATTAAAGTAGAATGCTGCACTTTGGTAGGATATTGGGGAAAAAATGTTGTTATTTCTCTGGTGTATCTACTCTAGCATGTTTTAGTATGGGATATGTCAGATTTTTTACCTGGAAAAAAAAAAGCATGAGTGATTTGTATAGAAATATGAATTCCATATGTAACTTACACAGCTATCTGCATTTTCTGTGCATTCAGTGAGGAAATTTCCTTGTTGATTCTTAGTGTTGCAGGCTGCCCAAATGCGTGTTCAGCTCCTTTGACTGACTCTGTAGCCTTGACATAACTGTCACTGAAGTGCTCGTGCACTTGCAGCTTGAAATTGTAATGAGGGCACTTCAAGTTAAAAAAAAAAAAAAGTTTGAAATAATTTTCAAAGGTATCCCATACTTTTTTGTCGTACTGTTTTCTTTTTCTCTTCAACTCCAGAACTGAACCTAGGAGCTCTGGAATCCTGCAGGGTCCCAGGCTAGCTTTAGATCCATTACTTTGCAGTGCGCCCTGAGTTCCTTTAAGGATAGTCACTGAGCAGCTTTTATTGCCTTTACAAAGGAGCAAAAGTCAGCTTAAACTGCTGATGGGTTTGCAAAATTGCGATCTGTTAATGAGTTTATTTGTATTTCTTGTTGCTACTTACTCTGTAATGTGGTATTTGGAATGCGGGCGGCTAACATACAGGGCACCACAAAGTTCACTTAAACAAAAACCCCTCTAACCTGAACACACCATGTTTTCACAGATTGACCCTTATTTGCCCTATGAATTCACATGCGAGGGAATGCTTCAAAGGATGAATGCATTTATTGAAAGACAGGTATGAACTTTTATGGTGGATCAATCTTTTATTTTATGTAGGAAAAGGACAGCCCTCTCCATTTTGAATCTTCTCAGTGTTGTTGCCGTTCAGGTAGAAATAGTAGCTGTGCAGTCCTGTCTGGGCAGTTGTTTGCTCAGGTGAAGTTCCTCTGGGAGGCCCGCATGGACTCAGAGATTAACTTCTGTGGACTTGGCCATGTAGGGCTAGGGAGGCTTCTTCCAGGTACGGCACCAGTGACACTCTTCATGTGTAAAGAGACTGACTACAAATTAAGCTGAAGTGCTGGCTACCAGAACATTCGTTCTGCCTCTCAGTTTGCCACTGGGCTCCGATTCATCTGCGAGTGTCTGATTTATCATATGTCCTTGCAAAAACAGAGATTTATTTTTTTTTAATTGATTTATAAAGAACCTTCCTTCTTCTGATGTTAAAGCAGAAAGGCAAAGTAATTTTTCAGTGTACGTGTGACTTCTTCAAATGCATACTCGCAAAAAATCTTTGGATCATCAAGTGTCCCGTAAATATAGAGATACTTTTGTGGTAGAATTGCACTTAGGCCAAAGCCTCTGGACAGATTTTTTAAGCATTCAGATTCAATCAATAAAGCTTTAAATAGTTCAGAAATCAGTTACTTAAAGGACTTTTGGTCCCCATGCATTATTGCTAGCTGAGAGCTGCACAAGGTACTGAGTTGGAGTAATAAACTGCAGCGATTTATATGGTGGGATGCTGATTTCTAAAAATGCTGTGTTTGCTTGGACTTCTGCCCAAGGCCAGATCTGTTGCAGCAGCCAGCTCCCCTTTTGTTCTGCCTGCTGCAGAAGAGAGATAGGAATAACCTCTATCTCTGATACACCAGTTGACTTCCAGGGTTGCTTTCAAAAGCACTGCACATGTTCCTGTTCCTGTGTTTCTGAGAGGACAGAATTACAGACCAAAAAAAAAGTAACACGGCTTCATGTCAGAAGTCAAGTTAATGTAACGTAGCTCAAACTGTTGCCAGGTTTCCTGCCAATAAACACTTCATGCTTTTTACAGCTGTATTGATGACGTTGCTTGTAAATGTATCTGCTTCTTTTGATTTTTCTGCCAGTTGCTATAATTGAGAGTTTCTGTCAATACAGGAAGAAATGGAGCTCAGTGTAAGGGAGAAAAAGAATCTAGAGATAGCGTCTGTGGGGCAAACCTGTCTCTCCTCCTCTCTGACAGGCCAGGCTAAGCCCTGGTCCGTGCCATGTGCTTCTCAGAAATAAATACAGCATTGTAATTTTGTTCATTGCTTGGACTAATTGTCAAAAGCTGTTATTGTTTCACAGCCCCCAGGTTGCTCAAGCATCATTATTAGCTGCATGCACTTCACACTGTGCCTGGTTGTCACATCAGATGGAAAAAAAATACAAGTTTGAGACGTTATTTTGAAGAGTTCAGGGCGGGAGGCAGGCAGAACAGAGAAAGCAGCATGAACTTGGAGCAGGAACAAAGATGCATGGAGTTGACTGGCTCAGTGGTTGTGGGGTGCCTTAGCCAGAAGAGTGTGGCCTTCAAGGGAGGTTTGAAAGTGAAGAGGACAGGGCCAGACACAGTCACCCACAAATTACCCTGTGGGACAGCGCAACTGTAGGCTTTAAAGGAGTTGTCCAGAGTTCTCCTTCTGGGGCCTTGGCCCAGGATCAGGAGGGAGGACCGGTCACGAGAAAGGTTTAGTGAATTACCCAAATCTTCAGATGCAACAGCTGAACTGAAGGTCTTTAAGATCTGAAGTAAGACAACTGCTGTGTGTGAGCTGTGGCCTCACTCTTAGCAGTGCCACCTTCAGCTGGATTAGGACAGCTTTCACTCCCAGCTGCTCCTCCCTGCTCGTGCCAGTGGCCAGTGTGGCTGTTCGGTTTGTCTGTGCCACTCCAGAATCCAGCTCTGGTGCCCTTTGCTCTGTGCCTGCCCAGACAGCTGCAGCAGCTCTGCAGGGCGGGAACCCACGGGTGGGACTGCTGAAGGTGGCACTGCCATCAAAGGAGTGCCTGAAGCCACCATGGGAAGCCTGGGAGGTGTTGGATGTGGCGGGCTGGGCTGGTGGAGCAGACATGCTGACTTTGAAAGATGTCATCAAGCACAGTGCTTGGCAACCCAGCAGAAAATGGTTTTGGCAGGGCTCCACTAGGTTAGCAAGCTGCGCTGGCTCAGCAGAGGGTCAGCTGAGCACCAGAACTTGGCAAAAGGAGTGGAGTGAGAATACCAATCCAAGAGCAAGAAAAGCCAGAGGAAGGAGGACACCTTCTTTGATGGCAGGGCAAAGCATGTCTCACCTTGAAATTGTGATTATAAGTAAAAAAAACATAACACAGTCTCTGGTGAAGCTTAACCTTCTGTTTTACATAACATCTTTGTGTAACCCTTACGCATGTAGGGTTATGGGGCAAGAGAGACTGGGGTGAGGATACCAAATTTAGGTTGCTAAGATAGTTTATAGGAAAACTAGCCGGAGACAGAAAACTGAAACACCCCCCTGTGTGCTGGTACCTGTGAAGGTGATGCACTCTGAGGCATGCTACAAGGTGGCTTAAGCTGAGGAAGGCTCCCCACTAAGCTGTGGACTGGAAATGGGAGGCTCTGCACAGTTTTTGAGAATTTCAACAAAGATGTTAAAAGCTGAAGCCCCAGCAAATGGTGAAGGCTCACAAGTGATTCACTGTCTGAAAAATGTTGTATTCTGCCTGCAGTAGCTGTGAACCCCATCGGATATTACAGTATTGTATTGTATGTATTACATATCGTACATAGCTATATTGGGGTGCTGGATTGGCTTTTGAACCTGTATAGATTTCCTCCTGCATCTAGTATTTTAAAGATTGATTTATAAAAGGACAGAGTAAGCAAGGCACTTAAGTTCAAATAGTAAAATAACCTTTTTGAAACAACCTCATTAAGAGGTATCTCCAACAATCTATTGTTAACCTGTTTTTTTAGATGCTGTTAAAATTATTCCGCCATAAATATGCTCTAAATATACTGATTTATTTTTTGAGTATGGAACAAGGAAACTGGTTTAGGGATGCATCAGTGGAAGTTCAGAACAGATTTTGGGTAAGATTGTTCACTGAGTGGGTGGGTAAGCACTGGAACGTGCTCCCCAGGGAAGTGATTGTGGCCAAGCTATCTTGTCAGTGTTCTAGAAGCACTCAGACAGTGCTCTTGGATATATGGTTTAGCTTTTAGGTTGCCCTGTTGTCCTGGAGTTGGGAGTTGGACTCCATGGTCTTTGTGGGTCCCTTCCAACTCAAGATATTCTGTGAGTCATTATTGTATAATATTAAATCTATGGTTAGATCTGGGAGTATGAGGATGTCCCCCTGCAGCAGGAGAAATCTGA